TGTGTGTGTGTGTGTGTATGTATGCATGTATGTATGTGTGCATGTATGTGCGGGCCCGAGTGTGCCATCAAGGCACTCATATGGGGATCAGAGGATAATTTGCTGGAGTTGGTTCTCTCTTTCTACCATGTGGCTTCTAGGGATCTAACTCAGGTGGTCAGGCTTGACAGCAAGCACCCTTACCCACTGAGCCATGTTGTCGGCCCTTCATTTATGTTCAGTAATGTTAAATGGAGGTAAAACTATGTCCAGTCATTGATGAGGGTGAATCTGCAGAGACACCCAGGAACCAGGCTAAGAACCAGGATGGTGTGAAGAAAACAGGGACGTGTCTACTTAGTGAAGGACAGCACTGTGTGTATCATAGTGGACATAATCTGTGATTCTTTTCCTCAGGGTTGGGAATGAGGAACCCCACCCCAACCCTAGCTCCCTAGGAGGCATTTCCTTGTTTCTGGAACAGGTATCCAAGGGCTATCTTCCAGCCTTGTCATCCCTGCCTCTTTTCATCAGCATCCCAGCGATGGTAGCTATCATACAAGTCAGAGCCCACCCACAGAAAGGACTTGCCTTTGGTGGCCTCAGGGAAGCAAGAAATGCTGGAATGCAGAGGTTACTAAACCTACCACGTCCTAGCTTCCTTCTTTTTTCCTCAGTGTGGCCAACCCTCTGGTTTCTGACCTCAAACCTACAACTGGGGATTTGCAGAGTGACACCACATGGCCACACAGGATGGAACCTGGGGCCTCACACATGCTAAGCACATGCTAAGCAAATGCCCCTCTTCTGAGTCACACCCTCACTCCCTGCTGCTTCTCCCTCTGAGCTCTAGTTGCAGAGCAGCCCCTTTACTCCTCACAGAAGCCAAAGAAACCAAAAAAGCGAAACAATAGAAATAGGATAATGCAGGTCAGCCGGGGTTTCAGTTGAGGCTAGAGAAATTGTCTGTGTAGCTCTAGTTTCTCGAGGACCCTGTATTCCCTGTTTTCCACTCATAATAGAAAGATTAGGGAAGGGTGCCATGGTCAGTGGCAATGTGGGGAGAGGGCTTGTGTGGGAGCCTAGGAATCCTCGCCTCCCTTTTTGATGCTTGACCAGTTTCTTTTCTTCTTATTTTTATTAATACACATCCCTAAGTGTGTATGAGCCCAGAGAAATTACTATGAATAACTGATGATGCATTTGTTGATTAACTTGTGAATCATGTTTGGGATGGGGGGAGGCCAGAGGAAGAAGCAGGAGCTTTAGAGTTGAATATAATGTGTTGTAAAATATTTAGCAAATGATCATCCAAGCCACAGGGAAAAAGTCTGAGAGATGGGAATTTGAAAGCTGCCAGGATTTAAAAGCTATTTAATGCTAACCATCGGTGCCAAAGAGTTGAGAGCGTCCCTCTCCCCACTCCATTGGCAACAGTGGCTTGAAAATGTGGAACAGGCTTGGCATGACTGTGGAACTCTAGTGGGAACCAAGATCAGGCAGTGAACTGAAAGGCTTTTTGTTTGAGAACCTTGTAAACAAGGGATCTCCTCTGAGGTCCCTCTGAGAACTCCACCTTGCCTATTGCCTGCACATTTTCTCTTTCCATTTCCCTGATAAACTCCCCACATGGAGCCAACATTGTGAAGACACCCGTCAGTCATCTGGATGTTTCAAAATACCCAAATGCATCAAGGCAGGAAGAAACTCCCATATGGCCAAGCAAATATGTCACTTTCCTTCAAATGTTTGGCTGTCACTTAGAGTGGGCCTCATCTCTGGTTCCAATGTGGCTTAGCTCTGTCATTTTAAAGGCTTGGACTGTGAAGTTGTCTTTCTGAGAGGCTTAGGAATTGTATATTTTTAGGACTGGAGTCAGGATTCACTTCCATAATCTGACTCTTTGGAGACACATTTACTTTCAAAAAAAGGATGAAAAAACCAAACCCAAAAACCCTCAAAAAAAAAAAAAACAAAAACAAAAACAAAAACAAAAACAAAAAGCAAAAAAAAACACACACCCTCTTGATGTTTTGGTTTGACAGCCCTCAACTTCAAAGCCATATCCTCCTGGGTAGAAATACTGTATGTTAAGGTAAATTGAAGGAATTAATTTAGGACAGTGGAAACAGTTATCCTAGAGGATGGAGACCTCATGGTAGTTTGGTCACAGGGCATGCTTTAAAGACATGCTGTGAACCAGTATTAGTGAATCTGATGGCTTTAATCAACTCATATATTAATTCTACCAAGAAGGGCCCTGGTGTTAGGGAACATTTTATAATTCACTTGCTGGCATGCATTAAGAAATATAATGAATCATTAGCTCCTGAGTTCAGGAAAGTAAGAGACCTCTGGGCTATCAGCCGAGGTTGATGGGAGGAGACACCTAGCCCTGGCCATGGCAGCATGTCCTTAACCTTCTTTTGTACTATTGCCCCAGCTGCTTGTCTTTCCCATAATACCCCTGCTCATCTGCTCTACACATCCTCAACTCCACACAGTCCTTGAGACCTACTTCACTGAGTCCACAGACTCAATCTTGGCTATTTAGTCTTTATGAATCTTCACTTCCTTTCAGAACACTTTATGGCTTGTAAGAGTCCTAACCCTTCCTCTGGCACATAATTACTACTGTATGGCAATCTGCTTTAAGAAAGAATAAGTTTTTTCTCTCCTCAATTCAAAGGTAAGTTCTTGTTGGCAAGTGCCAACTCTTTTATTTTTTTATTTCCTTATTTAGTGTGTGTGTGTGTGTGTGTGTGTGTGTGTGTGTGTGCATGTATGGGTGTACATGTGCCATGGTGTGCATTTGGAGGTCAGATTTGAATTTGGGAGTTGATTCTTGCCTTGCAACTTGTCAAGACAGGGTTGCTCTTGTTTCTGCTGCTGCACTGCATGCTCCAGGCTCACTGGCCTGAGAGCATCCAGGCTATTCTTTTTTGGCTATCGCTCATCTCATAGTAGAAGTGCTGGGATTACAGATACATGCCACCAAATCAGACTTTTTATATGGGTTTGAAACCAGGTCATCAGGCTTGCATGGCTAGTGCTTCGACTCAGAACCATCCGTCCCTTCATTTTTTTTTAATTAAAAAAACCCAAAATCTTATTTATGTGTGTGTGTGTGTGTGTGTGTGTGTGTGTGTATATGTCACATGTTTACAGGTGTCCAAAGAACACAGATCCCTGGAACTGGAGTTGCAAGGCAGTTGTGAGAAACCCAATGTGCGTGTTGGGAACTGAGCACAAGTCTTCTGGAAGAGTAGTAAGTGCTCTTAGCCACTGAGCCATCTCTGCAGTATCCCCCTTTTTTTGAGACAGGGTCACATGTATCCTAGAATGGCCTTGAACTTTATATATAGCCAAGGAATAAAATAATCTGTAACTCCTGATCCTACTGTCTCAATCTCCCAAGTGCTAGAATTATTGGCATCTGCCAGTGTGCTTGGCTTTTGTGTTGGTGGGACCAAACCCAAGGTCTCATGCTTGCCAGGTAAGAATTCTACCAGCCCCATGGTGCTCTTAAAACATGCCTGTGCTCCCCTTGGAGCGTCTAGCAATGTTCAGTGTAGAGATGATGCTGGCAACTGGCTGCTTGGGAACACGTTGGTGTCCTGTTAGTAGGCAGTACAGTCTGCCCTTCAAACCTGGTGGGTTCTACATCTGAGGACTCAACCAACCACAGGCCAAATGTTTGAAGAAAAAAAGCATCTTTGTACTGAATATATATAATTCCTCCTGTCCTGTTTTTGTTATTATTTTCTGAATACCACAGTATGACAGCTGTTTGCAACATTTCCATTGTTTTAGGTATTGTAAGTAATCTAGAGATGGTTTAAAGGCGGTGTGTGTGTGTGTGTGTGTGTGTGTGTGTGTGTGTGTGTGAGCATAGATTATATGCAAATATACTTTCTTCTATAAGGGACTTGGGCTTTGGTGCCTGTAGAGGACCTGGAATCAGGCCCCCACAGTCCCTGAGGAATGACAGCATGCTAAACAGGTTGTGGGTGGTGAGTGAAAATTCCATTAGAGCTGTGGAAGAAGCTTGGATTCTTGCCAAGACCAGGGATATGTCACCAAATTAGCACATGTAGGTTGAGACACACTTTGAGCAGCATTTGGTCCTCATGTTCCCTTGTTCTTCTTAGTTATGACTGTCAAGGAACATAGCTCGGAATAGTTATAAACTGAATAAACTAAGAATGAAAGTTTATCAGTAGTTTCATCCCTCCCCCCCGCTTCTTTTGGTCTTTTTGAGACAAGGTCTCCCTGTATCCCCAACTGGCTTGGAACTCACTATGTAGACCAGGCAGGCCTGGAACTCATGGAGATCTGCCTGCCTCTGCTTCCTGAGTGCTGGGATTAAAGGCATGGTGTGCCCTGACCCCTTCATTCACATTTTTAAAAAGACAGAGCTGAAGGATGGCTCAAGTAAAGGTGCTGGATGTAGTGGCATGGGGGAGAGGGAGGCAGGAGGATCCCCCAGGCTCACTAGCCAGCTAGTCTAGCCTAATTGCTGAGTTCCAGGCCAATAAGAGACCCTGTCTCAAAGGAGCTGGATGCCATTCCGAACCCAAGACACTCAAGGTTGTCTTTAGGTCTCCACACACATAGTACAAATGTGAACCCGTGCTTGTTTTAAAAACACATGCACTTGGATGGCTTAGCGTTTAAGAGCACTGACTGCTCTTGCAGAGAACCCCAGTTCGATTCCCAGCACCCACATGGTGGCTACAAGCCATCCTTAACTCCAGTTCCAGGAAAATCCAAAGCCCTCATCTGACCTCTGTGGCATTGCATGACGCGGGTGCACTCACATACATGCAAGCAATACATTCATACACATAAAATAAAAACAATAAAATATTAAAAAAAAACCCACACACATTTAAAAACATGACTAGAAAAGAAAGGTGCAGGGAGATAAAGTAGAGAACTCTGTCCCCAAACCCAGAAGGGCAGAATGGGAGACGCAAGTCAGTCTTCAAATTTATCAACAATTTCATAATGTGGCAATTTTTAATATTAAAAGTAAATTGTAAATGTATTTTTATAAACAATATGCATAAAATAAATCATATTTTAAAACCTTTTGTTTTTAAAATGCTTTTTCACAGTAAATTTCTTAGGTGTCAGATTTTCCCTCAAAGTAATAGTGCAATTAGAAGAAGGAATGTGCTATCAGCGGCTGGACTTTTCTGCTAATATAAGTCCTTGTAGATCTCCTGCAGCAGGGGGTGCAGGCTCATGTCCGTCTCAGTCTTCTTGATCACGTGCAATAGCTGCACATGCTCCGTGACGATCTGTCTGAGGTCTGTCATTTTCTGGAGCAGCTTGGCAAACAGCTGTGAGGACTCAGGGTGGTTCAGCTTGAGTTGGAGTTCCAGGGCCTGCAGCAGGTTGTCCTGGATGTCCTCAATGGGTTTCACGTTGAGCAAGCCTGGGCGGTCTGGAGAGCAAAGAGAAAACACAAAAGGAGGTTCAGTCAAACATTTTCTGGGCTGCCTCTAAACTCTGGGCAGGCTCTTTTTTTAAAAAAAAAACAACTCAGTGTTGGGGATGAAATTCAGTCCGCAAGCATGTTAGGCCAGTGTTCTACCAGAGTCACAGCCCCTGCTTCTTAAACTGGGTGAAGAGGGAGGGTCAGCAGCTAATGGGATAGACCAGAGCCGGAGACTGAAAGCACAAGTGTCAGAGCTTCCAGTGACCTGTCCCTGTCCAGGACTAAGTCTGTGTGGCTGATGTGACACATCTCAGAGCCATCCTGTCCCCAGATGGAGGCCTTTTCTGCTAACAAGCTTTTCAGAAATCTTATTTCCACGCTTTGCTCCTTCTGTATGAATCTGTTTTATAGCTTCTACCAACATTCACACAACAGCCTCAAACAAGCTTTTAAAAATAAACTTTATCTGGGCCTGGAGAGATGGCCCAGCAGTTAAGAGCACCGGCTGCTCTTGCAGAGGACCTGGGTTCAAGTCCCAGCACCTACATAGCAGCTAACAACTGTCTGAAACTCCAGTTCCAGGGGATCTGCTACACTTTTCTGATCTCCACGGGCACTGCATGACATGCTGGCAATATGCTCATAGACATAAAATAAAAATAATAAAGTATTTTTTAAAAAGCTTTGTCTTTTTTTGTATATTACATTTTCAGTGGGATAAAACAGTTTAAAATATGGTTTTACTTTGGAGGGATGTGCCCCTCCCCAGCAGTTTAACAAAGATTTCTTCTGAGTGATTAAATTGCAGGTAATTTTCACTGACTTCGCTAATTTTTTTTTGGTTTATTTTCTATCTTTTTTTTTTTTTTGAGGCAAGGTCTGTGTTGCCTAGGTTGGCCCCAAATGCCTGGGCTCAACCGACTCTTGCCTCAGCCTTCTGAGTAGATGGGGTACATACAGATGCACATACCATGCCTGGTGTGGATTCTTCTTGATACCTTTCTTTATTGCAACTTGGAAATAATGATCTTGAATCACTTTTAAATTCTTGATATTTTCTTCATGTAGAACTTGTTGGATTTATCCTTAGAGATTTAGTTTCTACTGTAAATGGGCTCATTTTTGTTATATTTCCTAATATATTCCTGCTGATGTTTAAAAGGCTATTGATGTTCATATAATGAATCTATTCCAATTTTCTGAGTTCCTGCCAGTTCAAATCATTTGTAGTTATTGGATTTTACTTTTTTTTGATGGATAACTGTATGCACTTGCATACAATGGTAGTTTTAAATTTTTATTTTGTCTTTTCTGGTGTTTACATGTGTTGTTTCCTTTTCTTGCCATGTTACTATGGCTAAAACCTCTCCTAGTATTAAATAATAGTAGCAATAAGCAGTATGTGACTTTTTCTAAAGCTGTGATCTTGCTATGCTGCTCAGCCTGGACTTAAACTCTTGGGTTTAAGTGATCCTCCTGCCTCAGCCTCCCCTGTAATCTGTAACTATACCCAGTGGTAAGATATTTTTGAAAAGACATTCTTGTTTTACTGACTTTGAAAGAAATGCTTCTAATGTTCACCACTATGATATTTGCTTTAGATTATGCTGAATATGTTTTATTCTTAGCTTTCCAAGAATTTTAAAGTTTTAAATTTGTTCTGGTCAGGAATGTTGGTTAAATTTTATTTAATGCTTTAAAATTTTTCTATCTAAAGAGATATGGTATCTGCAAAGATATGATTTTATCTTAACCTATTGTAATGGATTACATTAATAGATTTCTTTGTACCCTTGCACTCATCTGTTAATATATTTTTAAATAATAAATATATTTAAATAATATATTATTTAATATTTGTAAATGATATGGTCCAGAGTGTTATCTTTTGTGGCATCCTTTGCCTGTTTGGGTAGTAACTGTTAACCAGCCTTGTGAATGCAGTTGAGAAGTTTCCTTCTACCTCCCTGTGGAAGCTGTCTGTTCTTTGGTGGTTTCTTGGAATTCATTTGCAGAATCATCTGATCCTAGTGATAAATCTTTTATTATCTTTAATTTTCTTCTACAGCTTTTAATCTTTTAGGCTTTCTACAAAATATAAAGTAAAATTTTTAGTAATTTCTACTAGAATAAAGTTGTACATGACATTCTTTTATACTCTGGAATCTTCATTATTATTATTATTTATTATTATTATTATCATTATTTTGGTCTTTTGGAGACAGGGTCTCCCTGTAGCCCTGGCTGACCTGGAACTCAGTATGTAGACCAGGCTGGTCTCACAGAGATCTGCCTGCCTCTGCCTCCCAAGTGCTGGGATTAAAGGCATGCGCCATCATGCCTGGCCCATTTAATATTTTTAAAAGTTTTATCAAACTGGGCTGGAGAGATGGCTCAGCAGTTAAGAGCACTGATGGCTCTTGCAGAGGACCCAGGTTTGATTCCCAGCACCCACATGGTGGCTATGAACTGTCCTTAACTCCAGTTTCAGGGGAATCGCCCTCTTCTGACCTCCACGGCATTGCACAACATGGGTGTACTCACATACATGCAGGCAATATACTCATACACATAAAAATAAAAAATTTTTAAAAAATCATAGTTTCAATTTTATATTCTCTTAAAAAAGAAATTTCTTTAGGTTTATTTTTTCTTCTTTCCTAATTTCTTGATTTGAATCCTTTACTCTGGTTTCGAGAATTCTTGTTTTCTAATACATTTCTTAAGGCTCTAAATTTTCCTCCAAGTGTCACTTTGGTTTCATCCCATGGGCCTTCATGAACAGTGCTTGCATTGTTCTTTCTCAAACAGCCTATCACAGAATTGTGACTTCATTTTAACCCAAGAGCTATAAAGAAGTGTGATTTTGAATTTTTGAGTGAAGAATCTGGGTTTTGGTTCTTGTTTTCTAAGTTTGCTGCATTCGTTAGAATATGAGGGTTTTCTCCCCAAGGTCTACCAAAAGGCACGGTTCATTTACAACTTAGGACATGCTCCAGCATCTTGCATTGATTTCAAAGTTTGGCTCCTGAAGGTTGTTTATTTATTATTAGAGTCTTAGCTCTTCTTCCTTCACTATGCATTTAATTCACATCTCCATTTATGTCAGCGGATGCTCCTGCCCCTCTCCCCCAGCCTCAATTTCTCTAGTTACCCTTTTGTTCCAGTCACACTGAGGCACTTCTATTCCAAATTCCTCAAACATCCTGATTCATCAGACTCTGTAGATTTGGTACCTCCTGCCTGAAGCCTCATCATTTCACAGTGACTTCAATTGCTTCTTCAAATGGAGCACCAGTGGGGTAGAGTCCCTCCTTCCCCTCATCCCTTCTTTTCCTCTATCCTCATCTCTTATCTCTGGACCCTCATAGTACCATATGAACTACTCTCTCCATTCTAGACTATATTTACTGAACAGTTATATTTCTCCAAGATTGTGCTAAGAGCATTCTGTATCACAATATCACTTAATTTTCACAATAGGTTTTAAAGGCCATAGTTTATGGAGAGAAAATAAAGACTTGGAATACAGAGTTAAATCTGTGGTTTGTTAGTAAAAGCCAGAGCCAAACTTTGGATCTAAATCTGTCTGATCTAAACACTATACTCTTAAGCCTTCTTTACCTGAACTGTCAGTACTGTATTCTCATTCCCCTCACCCCCAGGAGGTAGCAGAGTCTTGATGACTCTGAGTACCAGTGGCTGAGTTAATGAACAAGAAGTTTGTTCTGGCCAAGAACCCTCGATCAAAGGGTATAATTGTAGTTGGTGAATAAGCCTAAAGGCAGAATCATTACATAGTGAAGAAGTCTCCTGTGAATGGTGTTTTGTTTTGCCATATCTAATAAACTTTCATAACCTTTATCCATGGAGGAAGGCTCAGAAGAACAATGTGGTCTCAGGGTAGGATTTTCAGAACTCTCAACATTCTCTTTACTTTCTTTTGTTTTACAGAAGGAAACTTGCCTTTGGTTTAACTTTTTTCCTCTCTAACAGATCCCATCAATTGGATTAAGTGCAATTTCCTTTTGAAATTCCAGCATTTAATTTGGAACCATAGGCAAAATAAATAAATAAAAGTCTTAGAGTCTGAGAATGAAATAAATGATTCAGATCTGGCTTAGAGAACCCCACTCCTGGAAGCATTATGCTTTTCTCACAGTTGTGACACCATGATGAAAATCACTTGGGCCAGTGAGACAGCTCAGTGGGTAAAGCAATTGCTGTGCAAGGCTGATGGCCTGAGTTTGATCCCTGGAACTGGTGTAAAAATGGAAAAACTGACTCCACAAAGTTGTTCTGTAACCACTACATGTGAGTTCTGGTATGCACACACAATAATAATAAATAATTTAAACTTACTTAAAAAACAAACTACCGAGGCTTCAAGGAAAGCTGGATTCTGAATTGGGATCTCTGGTATAATGACTGTTGATCCTATTCTTCAATAAACATTCAAAGATTTCAAAGACCAGAGGCCATGTGAACATGTGTGCATCTGGGTGGCAGCAACATGGGTAAAGATGGGGCTGAGTGAAGCTCCTTTGGGTTGGGCCTACACAGCCCATGTAGGATTCTTTGCTCACTTGGACACTGGCTCCAAAACCTTTCTTTTGAGAAACACCAGTGGGGGTAAAACTGCCAAAGAGGTCACACGAATGAACGTAAATTCTCATTTATCAAACAACCAGACCCCACCATGCAAGAGATGGGTTCGCTGGAACACTGGTTCAGTGAGTGATATGCGACCAGCTGCTCCAGGAGTGGGGAAGGATCTGGTTTGGATTTTCAAACTCTTCTCTGGCAAGTTACTCTTTATGATGTGATGGATGATGTTTGGCTGAAGGGCTGAGATGCTTAGCCACAGATTAAATATATTTTCTCCAGTGACAAGTTAGATCATTTATGGATCAGCCCCACTGTCCCCTGCTGGAATCTCTGTCAAGGGAGCACATTTTGGGGAAGGAGGCTACAGAGTAGAAAGGGCTACGTTCTCCTTTTTGGTC